GGGTACGACTTCATCCCCGCCATTTCCTGGCGTGTCGTTCCAGTACTCATAGGTCAAGGAAAGCATGGTCTTTGCAGGTGTGTGACCGGGAGAACGCGGGGCTTGAGGGGCGCGTACAGCAAAGATTAGGCGACGTGTTCCTCTCGCGATGGTGGCGATAGGATGGTGTGCGTGCTGAATGTGTCGCTTGAAGAGAGAGGCATCTTGAAATTTGGGAAGTGCGCGATTGGTAGCAGAAGATTGTGCGCCGCAGCTCATGACAAAGACGATCTCCGCGGCGTGGGGGACTTCGAGGTGTGCCCAGAGGTGAAGACACTGGACGCGCTGGGATGTGACGAGTAATTTTTCGAGGTAGTCGAGGTTCACGAGTTCTGTATGGTTGTAATCATGATCCTCTGCAATTGGCAGCGCGTTTTTGAGCTTCACGACCTGGAGATGTGGCGAATTTCGAAGTAGAGAAAATAGGTCTGGCCATCCATAACTCAGACCTTCGCGATCCAGCGAATCCTCTACAGCCAAGTGCGTAAGAGTGTTTGTCTGAAGCAAGATGTGTATATTGGATAGAGAAGCGGATTTAAGCCGTGGGCAGAAGAAGCGAGGAAGCGCGTCCTCTTGCCACGAGAGCATGAAGTCGTCCTCGGCCTTCAATGACAGCACCTCCAACTTGGATAGGTCGCCCGGACTTTTTTGCATACGTTGCAGAAGCATTGAGTGAAACCTCTCTCTCTTCGAGTAAAGCTTCCTTGCATCGGATAGTCGCGCGAAGGCGATCTCATATGACCCACTCGTCCGCACGTTAAGCACCAACGGCGCGTCTCCAGCTCGTTCGGCGACCTCTTCGCGAGCTCTACTGACATCGCAGATCGAATCAGCCCAGACTGTACGTATCTCGAGAAGAGCGTGACGTAGTTTCGAGCATATGTGGCCGAGCTTGATCCAGGAACGCATGCCACGCCCGTATGTAGCCATAGTGAGGATCTGTCGCAGGATCTCTGGCGGTAAGGCAAGTAGCGGAGAAAGGTGGCCATTCCCAAGCCAAGCACAACTCTCGCGGAGGGTACGAAGCGCGTCTGCTCTCCGAGAGAACTCTTTTGTTACCAGACTCGCTGCCAGAGGTGCGCCGTAGACCGTCTTTAATTCCAGATAATGCAGCGAAAGGGTCTGAAAATGCTCAACCCCGGTCGTGATCCAGGCGTCGCTGCGTCTTATTAGGTACGAGTTTCAGAGCAGAAGCATAATCGACGCACAACTCCTGCCTTGACGTATGTAAGCTTCGGTAGACTGGGACCATGATGGTTGAACGCAAGACGCAGAAGCGGGCAGTCGCCCGGAACCCACGCGCTCGATTGGGTAGGCTTCATGCTGACTATCTATACTTTAAATGCACCGTGTATGATCTTTCAGATATCGTTTCGATGGTCCATTAGTATATGTACAAGCACAAAGTAACGACAACTAGGTAGCTATACAGTAAATGGAAGTATCCGTATGGCACAATGCTCAATACCCGCGACCACGTCCGCGACCTCTCGGAGCGCCAGAACCGTACCCACCGCCCCCGCCTCGATTGTAGCCGCCAGACTGATTATAGCCGCCTCCGTGATAACCGCCTCCGGTTCCACCACCCGAATATCCATTGTATCCTCCACGGCCGCCGCCGCCGCCATTGCCCCCACCATAACCTCCAGAAGAGCCACCGCGATACCCGCTGCCGCCGGAGCCTCCATAACCTCCGCGACCATTAGAGTACCCTCCTCCGTTGCCATACGAGTTATTGCCTCCCCTCCCGCCGCCACCGTATCCACCTCCACCGTATCCTCCCCCTCCCCCACCATAGCCACCCCGGCCTCCACCACCATATCCGCCATTGCCTCCATAGCCACCGCCACCGCCGCCTCCATAGCCTCCGCCGCCTCCTCCGTAACCTCCTCCGCCTCCATTTCCATAACCACCGCCTCCGTATCCTCCTCCGCCGCCACCGTTGAACCGCCCACCGCCTCCTCCGCCAAATTGTTGCCCGACCATGTTCGCGTGCATCCCGCCATAGTCATTACGCCTCGGGCCACCACCACCACCACCGCGAGCGCGTTGTGCATCAGCGGATGTCAAGACACGCGGTGGACGCTTGACGCCAGCCAGCAATGCCGAGCGATGCGGCATGATCTGCTCAGGGTACATGTACCGCGCCTCTAGCGCCTTGTCGGCAGAAATGTCCGGCAAGCCCTCCTGGACAAGCGGACTTGTGTATGTGGAGCCCGGGATTAGACCCGGCTCAGGCAAGACGGTACCGGAGATGCCTTGGCTCTGTGCGGGGTCGAGCGGTACAGGGTCTTCGCTCTTGCGCTTGCCATACAGCGCCTCGAGCGCAGGGTATACGGGATGCGCGTCGCTTGCCATGAGCACGTTGTGGCCCCATCCGTTCCGCAGCACCTCGTCCTCGGAGAGTTCGGGATACCGCGTCGCCATCGCGTCGAGCAGCCGCTTCTCGTCGATAAACGGCAGTAGCGCGACGCCTTGCCAGGCCATGCGCTTCCCGTTCATGTCGATCTCGAACGTCTCGGGGTAGAAGTCCTTGATCGGACTGTCGTCCTCTGTCATGAGAGGGTGGAACGGCGCGGGGATGTGTACTCGGGAGCTCGCGGGGAACACGCCCATGAGCTGCTCGTATGGCTTGAACGGCTTGCCCTCGTTGAATTGGATGTCCATTTTGCCGACGTCCTCGAAGTCGTTCGCGAAGGGTGCAAAGTGGTACGGATAGAACCACGTCCAACTCGGCGCGCCTTGGTAGTAATACCGTAGGACCCAGCAGAGGCCTTCGATGTAGCAAGTCGTAATCTTCCGCCGTGTCTCGAGGTCGCTGCGCTCCACGCCGAACTTCTGGCGATAGTAACGTTCGCGATAGCCGGGCTCCCAGAGGCGCACGGTATCCTCTTGCTCGACAGTTCCATCGGGGTTGACTTTGAGTGCGAGCTTCGCCTTGGCGCCTGGCGCGTCCGAGTCGCTAGCTTCCGTATCGTCCTCCGCCATGGCATCGTCAACAAGATCCTCGGCCGCTTCGTCGAATGTACGCTTGGTGCCGGCTGAGGCTGGGGAATCGCCGTCACCTTCACCTGGCGTCTCGGATCCGTTCGTCGGCGCCGCTGCGTCCGGTATTGGCGGCGGTGGCATAGATAGCGCCTCAGGGTCACCCGTGCCCAGACCGGGAAGCTCATCGCCGTCCTCCATGGGTTCGTCTAATTGACTTGGTGGCGCCGGCGCAATGGTTGCCGGTACGTCGGGTACGGGCATTTCTGTCGCGATGGGCGCTTGCGGCGCGGGCGCGGGCGTGGAGTCCACCATCGAAGTCTGCGGTTTCGGAGGTAGCCCAGCAGGACGGGCGCTTGCGGGCATCAGACCCTTCATCTGCGCCTTCAAAGTCTCGGCGGCGCTGAGGTTCGCCAACCGGATGGCGGCGCGGTTTGCGATCACGTCCTGGTTGGACCCTCCTAATGCGCGCTCAGCCTCGGACGCGTTCGCCATCGCTGTGTCGTCCTTCACGCGCCCAAGACCAATCGCGTCCGCGTTCTTCGCGAAGTTCTGCGGCGGGCGCTGGCCGGCGCTGAGCATCTCACGCGCGCTCGGGCCGGTCGAATCGGCGCCGAATGATTTCTGCTCGAGCTTGCGACGCTTGGCGTTCGACGCCTGGCGCTCCTCGGATTCGCGACGCTTGCGAAAGATGTCGTCCTCGCGCCTTGCGAGACCTTCAAGGATGATCTGTGCACGTGGCAGCACAAGCTCTCCGTGGTTCGTAAGATAGCCACCCATACGCGGTAGCTCGTCACGCCAAATTCGAAGCAATGTGTCAATCGCGCCCTCGCGGATCTCAAGTGACGGGAGATGCGGCAGGAAATCGTTTCCGACGAAGAAAATTAGCAAGACCCAATCGTCGATAGCCATCTCAAGGTTGAAGGGGAATGGCGCATTCTGCACGTTCAGCTCAAACTCCAGATACTCGCGCAGAATTGCGACGTCAAGGAAGATGAACGGTTTCTTCTCCTTGACAGGTACTTTCTTCTCTCCTGGCTGTGCCGTGCACTGCGCAGCGAAATGACCCTCTTCGCCACAGTTCCGGCAAGCCGTCGCGCTGCCGGACTGAGCGAACACATCTTCACGCAGGACTTTGAAGTGAGGCTCGTGTGTGGCGAGAGCAAGCATGATTAAATCGGCGTCAAGACCATATATGACATGGCGCGTGTTGGGGTTGTGTCCCGGATTCGTGCGCACACGACGGATGTAATCCATAATTTTGTGCTCACCCTCTCCGGGAACGCTGGCATCAGAGATGATGACCTCGAGCTAATTAGATGGTCAGATTTGATCGGGTAAGGACAAGGTGGGATGAAGACGCACGTTCTTCCAGCCTGGGTCAGTGTTCATCTTCTGACGAACCCAGTACCGCAGCGAAGCGGCGAGGAAAGACATGAAGGGCGTCCCGGGCGTGATGGCGTTCGAGTCCCATGTCTTCTTGCCCTTCTCACCTTCGCTAATGGTCTTTCCCATGGCTGCTCGGATATTAGTACGACTTCGCTGGTGTGATGCGGGACGGCGTACCTTCCCACATGGCCTCTGCCTCTGCGCGCGCCTCCTCTTTCTCCTTCGTTTCCTGCGCCGTGCGGAACCGCCGGGAGCGCTGTTGGTTCATCTTCGCGCGCGGCGCGACACCGTCTAATAGCGTATATTAGCACAAGATGCATACGGATATTGTAAACATAGCGTACCGATGGCCATGAAAAGAAGTTTGCGCGGGCGGACCATGTTAACCACACGCTCCGTATAGCTGAAAATCTCAAGCATCATTTCGCCCTCGGTTTCGGGCGCAGGCTGAACGCCAAAGTGAGCATATGTAAGCGCATATAGTGACCGTCAGAACGCACCTTGCCCTCGGGATGAGTACAAGGATGAACCTGAGTATACATTGATCACTATGTTCAACAATTATATCAGAGTTAGATACGCACGATGCCGTTCATATCGAGATACAGATTGTCGAACTCCATCTCGTTCGGGTTAGGGCCGGACATGTCGACGGGAATGATTCTCTCGACGCCATCTTCGCCTTCTTCCTTCTGTTCTTCCTCCTCGGCGACTGTCGAGACTGCGCATTGTTGAGCACAACATATAACGTTGAAGTGGTAAGGCTACGCACTGATCTTGGGGTATTTCTTGCTCAACCAGCGAAAAAGAGCGGGGACACCCTAAGCGCCAGCGAACGAGCGTAAGCCTAGTGCTTGACCGGTTGTCCACTCGAAAGGCGTACCATGTTTGTTTATCTGTCTTTCCTAGTCTGTTTTAATATACAAAGTGGGCCTCCAAGCGTCCGAAGCTAGAAATTGGGCAGGGGCTCGTTGTGCGAGCCGATGGATGTGCGAAGCGAAGGCGCACGCGTAACGCCGACGGACCCGCGCGGGCATGTAACCACCATTCCCACGCCCATTATTTCTTGTTTGGACTCTGACTCGAGATCATCATCGGCGTCCAAGTTTCGGCCTCTGCTTCGATCCATGACTTGCGCACAGATATCACTCGGGACTTTCAAACAGCTGTGATGACTACCACTACCACGACTACTGCTCCGGCCAGTCCCTCGACTGCACGCCTGCCTGTGCAGAACGATGCCGCACCCGGCCCGGGTCCTAAATCGCAGAAACAAATGACCAAGGCCGAACGCCGGGAACTGCAGGAGAAACAGCGCGCGGCCAAGGCTGCTGCCAAAGCCGACGGCCCGGCTCCGGCCAAAGGCGCCGCCAAGAAAGACGGCGCGGGCAAGAAGGAGGGAGGAAGCAAGCGGGAGGCGGCGAGGAGAGAAGGCGCCTCGACGCCGAGCGGTCCATCGGCCGCGAAGGACAAGGCGACCGCCGCTGCCGTGGCCCAGGATCCGGGCGCGCGCGGTCTCAGGATATTCTCCCACTTCGCACTTCAGCGTCCGACGACGAGTACCGCGAAAGGCGACGTCCATCCCGCGATCGTTCGCCTCGGTCTGCTATTCGCATCTTTCCGCATCTCGGGCGCCAACGCCCGATGCATCGCGACTCTCTCTGCGTTCAAGGATGTCATCCAGGACTACTCTACGCCACCAAACCAGACTCTGGCTAGGCATCTCACAACCCACTTGTCTGTTCAGATATCTCACCTCGTTGCTGCGAGACCCATGTCTGTCACGATGGGCAATGCCATCCGGCAGCTCAAGCTCGAGATCAGCGGTTCAGACATTGATCTTCCAGAGCAAGACGTAAGTTTGGACTGCTATATAATGATGATAACATATGCTCATTTCTATGCAGGCGAAGGACGCTCTCTGTCAAAAGATCGACGACTATATTCGTGACCGCATTGTCTTCGCCGACCAGGTCATTCAGGAGACCGCGACGAAGAAGATCCAGAAGAACGACGTGATTCTCACGTATGCTCGGTCTTCCGTCGTGGAGAAGGTGCTGCTGCAGGCGTGGGAGGACGGTACTCCCTTCTCCGTCATCGTCGTCGACTCGCGGCCAATGTTGGAAGGTAAATGGGATGCACGTTCATCATCTCACGAAAGCTAAACCCTATACCCAGGCAAGCGCCTACTATCTGTACTGAGTCGGGCCGGTATACCTTGTACCTACCTGCTCTTACCCGCCCTCGGGTCCATCATCGCCGAAGTATCGACCGTCTTCCTCGGCGCACACTCGATCCACTCCAACGGCGCCGTCTACTCTCGTGCGGGCACTGCGCTTGTCGCTATGATGGCAAAACAACACTCCATACCAGTCGTCATCTGTTGCGAAACGTACAAGTTCTCGGAGAACGTGCAGCTCGACAGCTTTACCAAAAACGAGCTGGGTACGTGCACAGTCTCTGCGGCTCTTCTACGTTCTGACGGGTTCTTAGCGCCGACGGCTATCTTCCCACCTCTCGCGCCCAACAAACATCCGGGTTCTCAACCGGTACAGAGTGGCCAGCATCTCGAGATCCTTAATCCGCTGTACGACCTGACCCCACCTGCAAGTATCACCGCCGTCGTCACCGAAGTCGGTGTCATCCCTCCGGACTCTATTAGCTCAATACCTCTCGCTCTCGGAAGGACCATGATTTGACATGTAGTCAGTCAAAGTAAAGCAAGATGTAGAATATATGTAGCAATAGGACGTGTATCACGATCAATGGTTACTTGTGGCACCTGACATCATCGCAGTGCGCGCGGCCCTTTTCGCGCTTAGCCATGATATTGCCTCTTGCCTCCACGTTCCCGCTCTGGCTCATGTTGTTCAATCACTGTCAACACCTCTGGGAGTCGAGTCACACAAAATGACGCAGAACCCTACGCTTACCCTACAGGAGAAGCTGGCCGTAGTGCCCGCGATGCTCGCTGTTCGTGCGTGTCGGAACCCTCCGCCCACAGTTCCTTCACTAAATAGAGATTACAGTCATGGCTACGCTATACGCTGCCATTCAATGGCACTTCATCGATGATTTCGAGCGCGCCGCCTCCTTCGACCGCCATATTCGGAACGCTATCCACCGACAGCTGACGACTTCACTGAACGTTCGGCAACTGCAGTTTATCCTGGGCACCACGAAGGCGACATTTGAAAAATGGGTGAAGGCGAACCCTGAAGCGTATTGTGAAACAGACGTGGCACATGAAGGGACCTATATCCATTGGCTCGGAGGGCCATACGCGGGCAAAATCATATTCCACATTCACGGTACGCATACGCCAGCCGTGCTCAATGCATTATTTACGGATTTGTTGATTTGCCATAGGTGGTGACAACATTCTACCCCCGTCGGCGGGACATCTCGCCTATCTTCTCAACCTCCGCGAAGCCATATGCGAAGCGGGCGGCGACACTATTGCGGTAGCTGTCGTGGAGTATGGTGAGTTCTGGACTCGCACTGTGCCACCACCAGATAAGCTCACGACCAGGTAGCCTCCGTCCCGCACAAATCCTACCAGACGCGATTGCGTGAAGCCAACGCCGCCCTCGAAGAGCTCTTGTCGTATGAGGGGATCGAACCCTCAAAGATCATCCTTTCAGGCGACTCGGCCGGCGCGCACATCCTACTAGGATTGTTGTCTCAGCTCCTACAGTCACATCCCGACCTTCCCGCGCCACCACTACTGCGCAACACTTTCGGAGGACTCTTGCTCATCTCGCCTCGCGTCTCGAGCTCGACCAGCGCCGGTTCCTTTGCCCAAAACTCGCACCGCGACGTCATCACTCGTGAGACGGTTACTCGCTGGTTCTCTGCCTGTCAAGACAGCAATAGCCTTGCGCAAGACGGGTACTATATGGACCCCGCGGACGCACCTGCAAGCTGGTGGAATGGGCTGAGCGCCGTAGTGTCCGAGGTCTTCATTTCTGCCGGAGAGCATGAGTGCATGCGAGACGATATCCTACGATTCGCGGAAAGCTGGGAGACCTTACCTGGCATACAAATCCGCCTTGTGATCGAAGAGAAGGGTGCACACGCCGCTTATGGATGCCGGTCGTGTGCCGACAGATCTCATGCGGTCCATAGAAGCATGGATGCTCGATCGGCACGAGTCGTCTTGGGTCTGGGAGTGGATCTTGTTGAACCCTCTCGAACTCACGTTCAGCGTGGAGGCAGCGCCAGGAGCGGCGGATCGTGAACGGGGCGGTGGGAGGAGACGCGCAGAGCGAAAGAAGAGGAAGGAGAAACGCGGAAGAGGCGTACGAGGCTTTTTGTGATGTCCACGAGAGGGGGAGCCGCAGACTATGACGACGCGAAGCCTACGCGACGCGAGCTGGAGCAATTGCGCGGCGCGCAAGAGGAGATGCTGGATTGTCTACCACAACCTCCTTTATTGAGATGGCTTGATCGCTCCGGAGCCCGTAGAGCACATACCCGACGGATGAATAACGGTCATTGATCTTCGAACAAGCTTTCAACGATACTTGACGCACAATGGCGTGAATAAATAGGATACTATGACAAAGTACATGAGACGGGAAGGTGTCCGGAGGGCTCAGACACAAGGCCGGTCAACATCCGGGGGTCGTATGCAAAGAGAGCAAGTGTAAGATAATACAGATCCACGAGAAGGGGCAAGGGAGGGGGTCTCGCATACATTCAGACAATATGGATGGGTTTCTCATCCTCGCGCAGTTCGATGCTATGCGACCGGGGAGGGTCGCTGAACATCATGGGGCCGGGGATGCTCTGAGTCTGGGTCTGACTGGTCTGCCAGGTCTGAGCGAGATATCAGCAGATGTACAAAGAGGCAAGCCGTTGAAGTTCTCACATGGTCACTGCCCAGACGGTTGCTGGCGGTTTGGAACTGAGAGAGCTTGTACCCATCGGATTGCACATTCGTAGACGCGTGATTCTGGCGAAGGTACGAGCGTGCGTTGAGTGTGCCCAACAGACTGTTCACGTAGACTATGAAGACGAGTTAGCGTACGCTGAAAGCGACCCACGTAGAGTCACGCACGCTTGGACAAGCACACATAGAACGCCATGTACCCCAAGGTGTCTTCCAGAGCGGTGTGCTGTGCCGCGATGATGTATTCAGCTTGAGTCAGAAACATGTAGAATAAACTCCTCACGATGATCACATCCAAGAGCGCGAACAGGCTGGTAATAGCACCAGTGTTGATTGCGAAGACGACGAGGAAGTGAACCATGTCGTGTGTGCTAGTGAAAACAGGCGTCAGTCCTTGGTAATGGTCGTGATAGCAAAGAATACAGACCTCTTGACCCCAGACCGACTCTTGCGCAAGTAGAAGACGAGCGCGATAGTGATGCAGATATCAGCCGCCACCGTTCCGCCCAAAGCCATACGAATCAAGTACTTTGCAGATATGAGTTGCGTGCAGCAGATGAGAGCAAGCTCGGCGTACCAAGATAAGATGCATGGACGATTGCGTCCCGAGCTGACCCCTGAGCAGGCTAATCAGATTCAGCTGGTGTTGAAGGTAACCGTTAACTCACAAACGTATGCCATATGCTAAATATATTGCTGTCAGCGTATGTGGAGAAGGACACCTCGAAGAGCAACTCACCGAGACCAGATGCTGCATGGCGCAACGGTCAGGTAGGTACACCAACTCCCAACTGGACACGTTTTGAAGGCTTACCGAGCGCAAATAAGGACAGCACAGTCTATAGGCGTCACACTCAGAGAGAGCTTATCGGGCGTGACTCATTGCTTACCAGGAAGCCGCTGACGATGTAGTTCTTCTGGCTCACTACAGGGAACCGCGTAAGTGACAGCGTCCGAAAAAAGTCCTACACCTGACTCACATATCCAAACTCGACGTGTGAGATACCTAAGTGTCGATGAGACTTCGCCAAAAATGAGCTGGGTGGTTGCGCGCTCACATTTGGACAATAAAGGCGATGATAGACTGACTCGAGATTCAGCGTCTTGCGGCCAGCAAGTCTGAAGCGGGACAGCTCACCGTGAAGAAGACATCGGCCTGCAAAGTTCTGTGGTCAGAGAGCAGACACACTTTGGAGAGGTTAACACGCTACTCACAGTCAAGCTCCTGCATACGCATACAATATGAGGGCGACGTTCACTAGCACCACGGGAACACTTACCAAACGATGACGTTCAAAGTCAACCGCTGACCATAGTTGAGGATCGTATACCAGTACACCGCATGCGATATGCAGACAAAATGCCCAGTGTCAAGAAGCCTGAGCGATGAAGAGACTGATCAGAACACGAGTGACGAAGCGGCGATGGATGGGACTGACGTTAAGCCGGCCACCTGAGGGCACAAACTGGGGTCAATGCGTCGCTCCGGACAGTAGGTTTACGCCTACCATGAGCTTGTCCCATATCCTGTCATCGCGGAATGTCGTATAATAATAAATCGTTTGCAGAAGGGTGATGCCGAAGAGCCTTGGCATCGAGAAAATTAGCGTAATGCGATTGACACGCCATACAAGTAGTACTCACACAGCAGAAACCACGAATCCAACAAAAACGGCGCCGAGCGTCGGGTTGAGGTCGAGGGGAGGCAACGCAGGAGTTGCAGACATGGTTTCCGGCACGGTATCGAGGACCAATCTACAAAGCAGGAAGATAGAAAGAACAGGGAGAAAGGGGGAAAGGAGGGGAAGAAGGTAAACCTGCGCACGTTCAGAGACCCCCGGAGATACTATAAACGTGGTATCACAGCCGTGCCGGCGCGCCACTGACGCGGTGAGCCAAGTCTAGCTCCCCGCAGGAGCGAGGCAACGGTGTATAACGTAGTGCAATCGCCATCGGGATCACAACACCCAGAAAGCGCGCATTACTTTGGATCCCAGAAGATTTACCAGCCGATACGTCTCTCTCAGGTCCCCTCCGCAGTCCAGGGTCTCCTCAAGCCGTTGCCGTTGGAGGCATTGATGAAGACCGCATGGCGACTTCAACGTCGTGAGAGCTGAGCGACGCGTATGTCGGTACCTTGTACCTTGTACCTTTGTGTGGAGAGTAAAAGGCCAACCGCCAACCATGATATACGACTTTGCAGGCGGCATCGTAAGGCTATAGTTGAGGTTGAAGTTCATCCATTCGGCGACACGTGCGACGGGAACAGCGGCGGCCCGGCGGCCTTGGCCAGGTTGTCGCTTTGACCGGAACCACAACCGCGAGCAGCCGCGAGCTCCACATCACTTCTGCCGATCCCCGATCTAGGTCGCTCGGAAGCACTAACTCGGCTTCGCAACGGACGCCCAGCCTATCGTTGATAGTACGCTCGAATGGAGAGCGCCGGCCCGAACTTGACCATTACCTTGACGCTGGCACTTGCATATTCGTTATTGGTACTATACAGCCCCCTAACTTCATATCTCAACAATGTTTCATTGTGGCATATGTTGACGTGAACGATCTCTACTCCATTTACAGATCGTTCACAGACTCGCTACCATCTCAGATTCGGTACTTTTCCATCACCCAATTTGGAGTAGCCGAGCGCTGACGCGCTGTTGGGCTGTTGTGATGCTCTGATTTCTGATAGACTTGCGATTGCGGTGAACGTGTTTTCGCTGATCGATATGCAGGCTTGCACTGCGGATATAGTCGCTTTTCCGGATATCCTATTCCAACATAGCCGAAATCGATCAGTGGAGCCAGCTGAGATCCGAACAGTCGCTGTATCCTGCTGTATCTTTCGGTGCGCTTGTTCCTCGTGGTGAAGGCCCGCTCGATGAGCTGACGAACTGCTGCTATGTCTTGCGTCTTCCTGATGATCAAGACAAGAGTCCGGAAGACGCGGAAGCGGCATAAAACAACTTGAGTCGGTCATGACGTGTACGAACGGCCCACGCGATTGAATCCTACCTCGCCGTCGCCTGAACTCAGACCGTCGACTTGACGGCGATGCAGATGTTTTTCGTCGCCGCTGGACTCGTAAGTTCACCCTATCCCTGGAGCGAATTCCGATTGACACGTCGCAGGCGGCCTGTCTTGCCATTCACCGGCGTCCAATTCAAGGCGGAACGGCCTTGCTCCTCATATTTATTGAACTGATTCTCACGCTCGCTTATACCTTTGTGCTTGGCCAAGGCTTCTTGGCTTCTACACAGTATGCTATACTAGGCACCGCGCAGACCCTCCTTACCCTTGTGTTGTCGACCGTCGCCTATCGACTCTCTCCTTTCCACCCTCTGGCTAGTTTCCCCGGGCCTATCGTGAACAAGATCACGAGCCTACGCATTCTATACGTGGTAGCCACAGGACGTAGACATCTGTATATCGAGAGCCTGCACCGCAAGTACGGGAAGTTCGTGCGCACGGGTCCAAACACTCTATCCATCAATTCGCATGCAGCAGTCGCGCCTATCTACGCCAATGCGAACGCATTCGACCGTAGCAACGCCTACATTCTCCCGGGATCTACTGAGAAGGGCATCTTTTTCATGACATCCCGAACCCAGCATGGTGCACGTCGCCGGTTCTGGGCAGGCGGGTTCACCTCACAGTCGTGCGTGACGGCGCTGTATATTCCTCAACGTAACTGACGTTTGTTCAGGCTCGCGAACTACTTCCCAACACTTGTCAAACGCACTGATCAACTTATGGACTGCATCGCGAGGCGATCTGACCGTCACGGCAACGTCGATATTGGCGACTGCATTCAGCATTGGTCATATGATGTCATGGTCTGCCTTCGGTTTCGTTGCTTCGGGGAGCGTGCACTGAACTGTGGTTATCTAGGGAGATCTGACCTTTGGAGGATCCAACCGTTTGGTGAGTCAACCGTTCCTCTGTTGCCGTCTAGCTGACTGAAGCATACTGTCGTTCGTAGGAGCTGATGGAAGAGGGAGATCCCCGGGAGCTTGTCAAAAGCGGCCAACTTGCTACTTGTGTCTTTGAGATGTACGTGCACGCCTTCTTCAATCATATTCGTATAACTGAGAATACACTAGTCTGGGCGAAGTACCTTCTCTCTTCCAGATAGCGTGGTATCTCCCCGCTACCGCTATAGTTCGTCGCCTGGAGGATCTCGCATACGACATGATGCTTGCGCGAAGAGCATCGGGTGACACTGACAACGACTTATCCTCGCACATAGTATGTCGTTCAGTTTGTTTGATCGCGTTTGCTCTTCAGGCTCTGAGCACGCTTCAGCTTCGAGGTATCAATGACGACGATCCTTTCGTGGATGAATATCTGCGCATGGATGCGATATTTGCTATCCAGGCTGGTAGGTGCTGCTCACCTCTCGCAATGAATTGTGCACTGAAGTTCTCCCTCAGGTTCCGATACCACCACCGGAGTAGTCACCCTGACTATATATCTTCTCCTATCCCACCCCGACGTTGCCGAAAGGCTACGGAATGAACTCAGGAGCGCATTTCCCAGTCGCGACGACGTGTCGATACAGGCCCTCGACGACCTCGCCTATCTTGACGCTGTTGTTACTGAATCTTTGCGGCTCGGCAGCCCCTTCCCTGGGCTACCTCGCGTCGTCCCCGACCAAGGCCACGTGATTGATGGCGTATATGTGCCAGGTGGTACTATAGTCGGCGTACCTGCATACGCGCAGGAGGTTGCGGAAGAGAACTTCTGGCCAGAACCGAAGGCGTATAAACCTGAACGCTGGCTTCCCGGTGGACTTGGCCCCGGTTCTCGCGCTTGCAAGGCAGCCATCATGACGTTCTCATATGGTAAGAGAGCTTGAACTTGTACTTCTTGCTATGATGTGACTTACCCATGACACAGGCCCATTCGGATGTCTGGGGAAGGCTCTGGCGATACAAGAACTCAAGCTCCTTATCGCACAACTTCTTCTGACCTACGATTTCAAGTTCACGCCTGACTTCGACCCACGGGCGTTTGAAGCCGGTGTTCGCAATCTGCGTACTACATTGTTCGACCATCCGCTGAAGGTTCAAGTTGCTAGACGAGCTCAGATCTGAGCCAGACTATCTATCACCGTACTGATCTTGTATAATTCTCGCAGTTTGCTATACTTGGACTGTATTTATAGTTTTCTTGATCTGCTATGAATGGTCTGACTGTATCACTTTTTTCGACTGTCTGACGATGCTGCCTTGAATACGGAGTGGGACTATGGCCACTAACCTCTGCCTGCGTGTTAGCTCCAGCCTCGACGTGAGCGGGCGGGAATTTCGCTGCGCGAAGAACTGCCAGTGTCAGGAGAAGGGCCGTGCCGGTTGCGACAGGCTGCGACGGCAACTGAAGCATCCCCGTTACGCGTGAACCTCCTTGTCATCTCCGGCTGCATGAGAGCCGACAGACTAGGACACTCTAGTACACTTACTCGCAGTCGCGAACCGTGAGTAGACATCCTGCTGTACGTACTGCCCAGTGATGAACGATAGCAACACAGGCTGTGCAGCGCTCGTCGACTTTCTAACCCCATGATCTCTCGCCGGAGGTGGCGCGGAGTCGCGGCGATCGCGAGTCTGCTTCTCAC